CGGGTCGGGTCGGGTCGGGTCTGGGCTCGGGCTCGGGCAGAGAATCTAAACTCTACCCTACAGTATTTCCCCTAGGATTACAGCTTTGGGGGGGGGGGCAGATGGACACCGACAGGGTTCATGTATTTCTTTTGATGACAGTGTTTTAAAAAACCCCAGATATTTTTGCCTGCTTTTCAGGTGGTTGACGCGTCATATTTTCCGACATGTGCTCTCTGTCCACTGGTGGGAGTCTGCTCACCTGTGTGTGTACACGTGTCTGTGCGAGCGCATCGGGGCAGAACTCCGCCATGCGTGATACAGAGAGCAGAGGAGAATTGTAAATGCGTGACCGTGTAGAGACAAAAATTACAAGCTGTTGTGTAAATAAGATAAATAACATAAGGCTATTTAGTTTGTTTAATAAAAGGACAATGTATAGACCTGTTCTATAGAAAAGGTAACCTTAAATGACTTCTGTTGTGATCTGGCGCTATATAGAAAATAAATTAAATCAAATTAACGACCTTCAAGGGGGTGCGGGAGGTGCCGTTGTCGGGGCGGGGGCGGGGGCCCCCCCTAATATAATGGTAGGGAAAACACTGTCCTACTTACTACTGGAGCCCAAAGGATGACTAAACCAAGCTGGTTGCATCATCACTACCATCTGATTGGTCAAAATGCATCAAGATTCTGGTTATCTGCATTGATATGTAAGGACTATCTGAAAGAATAGAAATGTGTATATTATTCATTATTAGAAGCATTGCATATTGTGATAACTTTCCAACCTCCTAAGTACTAGAGAAAGGCCGAACAGTATGGATTCGTAATGCAGATTTATGCAAGCTAATGTTAATTCCACTAGCATAATGGACATGCTGGCAGAAATTAGCACAAAGTAGATTATAATGTACACTGTGTGAATAGTAAATAAGCATCTCTTCGGTTTTACATCACTGTCACTCTCCAAACCTGCCAACGCCTTTATCAAGACAACTCTTCTGCAGCGGAAAACCGAAGCGAGTTGAAACCTCGTTGTAATTATTCTCTTTTTTTGGTGCAGGTTGGGTACGTTATGGTTTCTGTACGCCATTGGAAAAGTGCTACATGTGTGCCAGAATGAATTTCTACAGATTTAGGGTGGCTCTCCCCCCCCCCCCCCCCCCCTTTCAATAACCAGCTTATACTGTATTTGCTAGTCCCAATACCTGTCAGATGTGGATGGGAAATCCAAGCTCTTCGCTCTTTGTGCACCCCCAGTCCTCACTGCTATGAATTTTTGGTCACGGATGCTGAAAGTCTCTGTTGCTGAGGTGCCGTTTGGTTTCAGGTGATGCCCCTCATTTCCATTCCAGCAGCCAGCTGAAGAGCAACATATTGCTATGGAAAAAACATGGATGAGGCACTGTGGCTTTAAGAAAATTAATTATGGTAAAGGAATGTGTAAGTAGAGTAGCAAAGACTAATAACTAAGCAGTAAGGGATTGACAGTAAATAATTTAATCTTCCAGGTCGTAGTCTAATCTTCCTCGATCCTCTTTGATGAAGCTGATGGCCCAATTGGCATTGTTGCAGTATGATTTCTGATGAGCCGAATTAAACTGCAGGAGATGTTAAGTCTGTCCGTATGTGTTTGTTCATACTTGAACCTATAATATGCTTTAGTGATAGTTACTGGTGAAGCAGGTAAATTGCATACAGTGAGAAGAATGCACACAGTAAAGCAAAAATGCAGAAATGTCATTTCTTATACACAACAAAGAACTGACACAAAAAAATCTAGGAAACGTCCAAAAATTATACCCTGAAGAGTGGAGTACGCAAGCTACAGTCGAACCTCGGTACAACGTACCCTGTTTATAACGTTTACACCAATACAACGTTCAAATTTCAATGTCCCGAATTCGCGTAATGCATTATTCCATTTGCCGGTATCGCTTAGAACGTACACCTTTACAGCGTAAACTTCGATATAACGTATGATTTTCAGAAGAAAATAGGCAAACTGACCTTCGTTACAACGTACAGCCTCATCTTCCGAGCACGCGCACAATTCAGAATCGGCTGTTGCCAGCCATCTACATCGCTTAGCAACGCCTAACTGTATGAACCTATCCTCACGAAGCATTCCATGCCGGCCGGACTCCTTGCACGCAGCCCCCGTTTTTTCATGGTTTTGCATGGTGTCATGGTATCGAAATTTATTTCAGCCAATTGAATCATACAGGTGCATAATTTCGGTTTGACATTAGGTTACAGTAAGGCGATTTGAACGATAAGCCGGCAGTGGATTTTGCGTTATTTCGGCTGTCTATGAGTAACTGATATTAACATACACTCACCTAAAGGATTATTAGGAACACCTGTTCAATTTCTCATTAATGCAATTATCTATTCAACCAATCACATGGCAGTTGCTTCAATGCATTTAGGGGTGTGGTCCTGGTCAAGACAATCTCCTGAACTCCAAACTGAATGTCAGAATGGGA